CTAAAGGGCGGCACGGCCATCTGCTGATCGTCCGTCAACCAAGAAGCCCCGGGCTATCTGCGAAGGAGATCTGTCAGCAGAACACTATTTGGTGCAGCATGTGGGCTGGTGGCATAATTTTCTACAACAAAACTGCTATAACAGATCTGTGAACTCCGTTTTCTATCAAAACATGATTTCAGGTCTTCTTTTACCCCAAATAGTTGAAAAAACCAGAAAGGGGTCTACTTCTCGGCTTAACATATACCGTACCCGCACTATTAGAAAATCGCTTCGGTGAGCAACTAATCTCCAGGCGGTGTGATGTCGCATAGCTTCCTAAGTAATATGACATACTTGATCTTTTTTTATGGGAGTACCTAAAAAGCGAGGTGTTCTAGGACGATCCACGGACAGCGGACGACTCTAAGGAAAATATACGTGCCACCATTGTAGAGATAGGACCAGATGTATGCGACAAAGTAGCCATAAAGTGGATGAAGCCGACCGCTGTCACGATGAGAGCCAAGGCAGCGCACGTTACTGACATTATAGGTGAGCAGAGCATATAAATGTTTAAACTTTATAATAATAATAATAGAGACACATGTTTATAGGCACACTTGAGTATTTCCTTGTTTTCGATTTACTCCGGACGACGCAGCTGTCTTCGTATTAACTTTTTTCTAAATAGATACGATATATAAAAACAATATACACTTCTGTTAAAAAATATAAAGGCTGTTTTATCAATACACGCTGCTCAATGAACAAGGTAATAACCGTCACTCATATTATATTAGATACTTCTGCAATAAAAAATATCTTTAACTTTTAGGTAAATCCAACAATTCGAATATTCTCAGAAACGATGAAAGGCATGGTTCCGAAACATATGACGATGATGGCAACTTCTGTCGAATATTTTGCTATTTTATAAAGGTTGTAACCTCTCAGCAACAAATTCACTTTACAATCGCATAGAAATCCCAATTTTCGCCGTTCCGTGCTTTGTCGTGCCACAAAATGTTCCTTTTGGCCGAGTTGATTTTCTGTCACTCATCCAATTTCTATGTGATTTTAGAAAAATCTATTTTTGTTTTACCGTTAAATCGAACCCCTCATCAATATGCACGTATGCATTTAGATCGGTCTGTAAAAATCTTAATTCAGGATCACAAACGGTTTCTATCGCCGCATCGTTCCGTCTATCTGGCTCCTGATAATAGCAGAGGCATCATGAACCGCTAGTTGTACAATCCGTTGATTATCTCCTGCTTGCAATGTTCTTAATTAGGACAATTAACTCGGATTATATGTGCGGATTGAAGTGTGGTTGAAGAAACACGAGTGACTGGTTTTGACACTTCTTCATAACGTAAAAGGAAGACAGAGTAGAGGTCATAGCGAATGGCTTTTCACTCCCCCGTTCCCCAGCCGACGTAACCTCCGTTAGACTATGAAGCCGCTGACGGTATGATATCGTTTTTAACATACGAGGTCTCATACGAGATGAATTGCAATGCTGAATTAGCATGGTTACCAATTTCCTTCACGTTCAGATACACTAAATGTGTTAAAGGGCTAGTAGTTACAGCAAATACCATCAAGTTAATGATAGTTTACCGACCCATTTTACCAGTATCGAGGTGTAAAATTATTTTGGCTGAAGGACATCAAGAACCTTCAGACCACGCATTACTAATAGTAGACATAATCGGACAATTAACAGACGGCGGGGGGCCTTCCTATGGCTATAAACTAATTGAGCGTCATTGGAAAATAATGAGGCTTAAAGTAAATAGGCCGCTCAATGTTGAATATCATTGCTCAGTTTCTTTTAGTCGATGCTAAGAGAAGTGGTTGAATTTGTTAAGAACTGGTAAAAACACTGGGCAAGGAGGCGCCTGGACAAAAACAGCACTTCGTGACTGGTATAGTCTTAAATAACTGGGAGGTTGAAGATCACACAAGAGGTCACTACAGTTCACAGTATTAAACGAAAGAATGAGTTGATTGAACGAGAGACGCTTTTGAGTGAAACAGAGCACAGACAACACGTTTTCTGTCGGTTCATCATGCGATCCTTCGAAGCACGTGTCATCAAATTGTAATATAAACATTAAAGATGAAAAACGAAAGTTAAAAATAACTACTCGCATGTTGACTTACAGATGGGTTGGGATATATGTGTACTCTAGAGACCATTTGCTCGACTACTGCCAGCAAAAAGCCCACCAGGGCCAGACTGTTGCCATTGACGGGAAGCTTACGTGACAACCGCAGCTTGTTTTTGCGTTTGAGATCCTGAAATATAGTCACCTTATCCGAGAGATTCCATTCGACAATGAATTGTTGTTTTCGCCACGTGCCTCTATCCAATAAACCCCTAGCGCTCTAGCCCTCGCGAAACAGGGATTTGATCCGTGGAAATTGCTTTTCAGTACAATTTCCTTGCCTTCTCTAATAACAATCAATCGGCTCATAATGGTAGATGGCTAAGGACCTGATATAAACACTTACGACATCGCCAACAAGTTCATAGTTGAAAAAGTTAGACTAGTGTAGTCTGCTGCCGTTGAGTCTGACTTCCGACGACTGGCTCGCAGCGCAGTAAGTACTACTAAATCTAATTGCTCATAAACGAATGCTTGGCTTTATACGTAGCACACCTTACATGATTCTAATTCTAGTAAGCAAACACGCCTTCATTGTACTACTGTTTCAAGGGGGCACTACGAGGGCGACATATCTGAGTAACTTCATTACATGCTTTGAGCTTTACGTCCAGTATTACCGTTAAACGTTACTTCGTGAAGTAGCATAGTTTCGGATAATCTAACAAGCACGCGTCTTACCTTACACGACGCTCAAATTAAGTATCTATAATGTCCTAGGTTTTCGGTGCGCAACAAATGGCATCGTGATTAAAACAGCAATGATGGAATAAATGAGGGCCTATCAGTGTCCTGTTTAGGGAGTTTCGTGTTAAGCAGCCAAGGTGATTGAACAAAAGCTGAACAGCTCTTGGTGCATGACAGTGTGTGACCTTGCGGCGCCAAAAAAGCAGGAGTCATTTGTCTGAAAAAAAGTCTCTGTCATCTTAGTAGACATTGCTCCCACAGATTGCCGTCTGAACGGCGGAGGGTCATCGACAGAAACGATGCATACTCTGGATATAGAAACTAGGGAAGTTAGAGTTAAATAGTGACTGACGTTTACTCTATTTAATGAATGAACATGTTTATTAGTGACGTGTGCGTACGAGAGTTATCTGTCCGTCTGTAAAAGTGAGCGACGTTCGTATGAGTAACAATGAGAGCATGAACTAATACAATTGTCATATTTGATACATGCCTAATAAAGCTACTCTCCGATGGCTGTAACGATTTAAAATGATGAAGTCTATAGTAAAGAAAGCGTTCAGGCTCTCGAAGACCTTAACCTTGCATTAAACAGCTTGGACATCATACTGCCAGAATTAGGTGAGCTGAATAGATTTCGGCCCTAAAATAGTCGACCTGTATCAAAGGTGTCAATAATTTATCAGATTTGACACTCAACGTTATCATATTATGTGTGTGTATATATATA